TCCTAATTCTGAACCCAAGTCCTCCTGCTTGAAGCCCAGCGTTGGGCAATATCCACTTCAACCCGAGGAAGCACCAGACAGTTTGGGCGTCACCTCGAAGCCCTGATATTCCAGGATGGATTAGTGACTTCACAATAGGAATGCTCGGAGCAAACTCTCGACACTTTGGGCCAAGATGTACATCGAGATACTTCGGGCCAAAAGTGCCAGTGACCTCAACTAGACAGTAACTGGAAAAAAAGGATACGCTATAGGCTCGATCTTTTTGGCTTTGGATGTGAAGAGGATGGAATGGAGCACTGAGCATACTCTCTTCCGCCTTCGACGTACCCTTCAATAGTGTGGCTTTCCTAAGACTCGGAAATAACTTCACAGGATCATTAGAATAGAAGAGAAGTAAATACATTCACGAAAGCCACGTCTTCGCTTTTTCTGGGTGATGCTTGGCAATCATCACATGTCAGGCTAAACTTTTTGATACACTAAACATGTACATTAGACCCTAGATGTTCTTTCACATTTCCTCGCATTTCAGCAGGATTTTGACAACATTTTAAAACAATAACAATGACATAATAGTTCAGCATAACATCAAATAGTAGTTCAACAGAACTCACCTAAATTGTGATAAAAAGTTAATTCCATACCATGAAAGTATTATGACCCTTCAACTTGGAGTTTGTCTCCTCCATGGACAATCTTCGTCGGAACATCTAGCACAAAATGTCACAGTGTCACTATACTACTCCCTCCTTTCCAGTTTTTAGAGCTCATCCCAAAAAGTTTGTTTTTCCATTTTATAATCTCAATTCTACTACTACTTACCATCACATGTTTAGATTTCAAGGTGTATCAAATCACTGCATGTAAGGATGAAGAAAAAACTCACATATGCATGTACAAGTTATTGGTCATTTAGTGGTCATGCATGTATGTGGTGTAACTAATGCATCGGTATACACAATATTTTGAGAAAAATGAGAGTACTAATTAAGTATTTTTGTAAACTGTGGAATTAATTCAACCATTCATCATCTATCTTAGTTGAAGAGATTTTTCAAATTAAGCCCTATAAACCGAAAAGGGGGGAGTATGTGTTCAAAAACCACTCCCCTCTAAATTCTACTTGTGTTAAGATAGCCTTAATATAGCTTTAGAATCAGCAACTGTGTTCCCTCTTTTATGCGAGGACAGTTTTATCATGGATATGAATGGGGACAACATGGTTAGAAATTATACCTTCATCATTTTGTGCCACATATTGTTCCTCATAAGAATTATCAACATCCAATTTTCCTAGTGCAACCCCTACATTAGCTACCTCTAGCTCATTTTCATTTTTTTTTATTAAGATGGTTTGCCTTTGGCTGATCACTTCACTACATACTCCAAGAGGGTGTTTGTTTCCAGGGACTTATTGGTTTAGAGACTTAAAAAAGTCCCTATAAGTCCCATCTAAACCAAACAGGAGGGACTTATAGGGACTTAAAGTGGGCATTTGGGACTTATGAAATAAGACTCTCAAGGAGAGTCTTATAGGGACTTATAGTTGTAATATGGTCTTATAGGGACTTATAAGTCCGAGGAACCAAACAGATAGGGACTTTTTAGGGACTTGGGACTTCTAAGTTGGGACTAAGAGGGTGTTTGTTTTCAGGGACTTATTGGTTTAGGGACTTAAAAAAGTCCCTATAAGTCTCATCTAAACCAAACATGAGGGACTTATAGGGACTTAAAGTGGGTATTTGGGACTTATGAAATAAGATTCCAAAGGAGAGTCTTATAGGGACTTATAGTTGTAATATGGTCTTATAGAGACTTATAAGTCCCGTGAACCAAACAGGTAGGGACTTTTTAGGGACTTAGGACTTATAAGTTGGGACTAAAAAAAGTTCTAAGACTTATGAACCAAACAGGGCCTAAAAAAAGTCCTAGGACTTATGAACCAAACATGGCCTAAGCTCCCTAGATCTTTTATTTGCTCGATATAAGGCAGCAACTAGTATAGAATCTGAGCTCGGGATACTAAAATAGAAAAAATGGATCTGTACCATCGGATGGGAGATTGATGGCGCAGGTTTGGGTAGGTTGTCGTGTCCGCTAAACATGCAAAAAAGTCCCTCCCTACATTCAAACCCAATCCACTGGGCTGAGGTAGCGCACGAACCAAATCGCCCTGACAGCGGCTCAAACAAGTACGCCTGGTAGAGGCGGCCCAGATCCCACCTCCATGTTATTCCATCTTTCGATGGCTTCCTGTCGTTGTGTGGGTGGCGTCTCAGTTTCTCTCTCTCTCTCTCTCTCTCTCTCTCTCTCTCTCTCGGGTATCACTACAAGAAATATGTCAACTAGTGACCTTCTGTCAGTGACCCTGTAAGAATTGGTCATAGATCTATGACCATTTCAGACCAATTGGTCAAAAGCTGTTCGGGGGGCTCCAAACCCTAAACCATTGCGACCATTTTGGTCAGAAAGGTCGTAATTTCCTTACACGAAATGGTCACAAAGCAAACAGTGCTAGTCCGCTGCCTTATTTCTAGTTGTTAACGACCAATATAGATGGTCATAGCCTTGTAGATTGTGGTGGGTTGTGATGACTAGGCGCCATCTCATCAGTTTTGCCTATGTGTCATTGTCCATGTGACAGTTTTTGCCCTAGGTTGTGAAGCAACCTATATTTCTGTTATTCCAAAAACTCCCAAAAAATTCTCATAAATGTTTTGGGTCATATCTTCATCAAATATGTCAAAAACATTCCTTGCCTAGTTCAAAAATAATTCAAAAATATTCATTTTCCTATTCTGTTCAGAGCAGCACTTTGTGAAGGAAGTACCACTTTGGCATGTCCAAATGGTATCCATTTTCTACAGTGCTTTCCTATGCCCAAATAACCATCCTCCACCAAATGGCAGCTCAATCCATTCATTATTTTGAGCCCAGCTTCAACATTCGTATTTATGTCCAGTGTGGTACTTTGTAAAGCATGTACCACCTAGGCTCCTCCTTTTGAGGTGAAAATTTGTGAAGACGGTCTTCTTAGTAACTAATCATCCTCAGCCATAACTCACGCCCATTAGCCATGTGCATTTCCCGTACCGCAAATCAAACACTTGGCTACTTATTCATGTTTGAGCATCGATCGGTCTCCTCGTGAGAATCTTATGTTGTGATTTTCTTCCTAGCACCTACCTGGGGAGTGCCCAACCCACTAGACATGCCTAGGCCGCCCAGAACACATGGCAATGCCACGGTCACGCGGTGACCATGCGGCGGGCATGCGAGCTTATGCGCTCTAGAGTTGGGGCCCTCGGCCACCGTCCAAACCTCGATGTCTCGCCATCAAACCATGTATTTCTGATTAAATAGATACTTATTTACCTAGAAATGATTTTTGGAAAAAATAAAGAGCAAACTATGAGGCACCTGCAGTTCAAATTTGACCCGCTTCCAACTGAATCAGCGGGAATTTGTCTTTTTCACCAGAGGTGGATCAAAACTTTTGACACCCAACCATTTTGTCAATTGTGCATTATTTATGGCCTAGTATTTTATAAAATTGATTAGGTCCAATTTTTCAACAAATATATGGTAGATCCTTCACAAAAAAACTCATTTTGGGCCCTCGAAAAAATGGAAAATGAACTTTTCATCCAAAGAAAATGAAAACTTCCTTAGGCAACATTGTTTGTCATTCCAAGATGCACCCTTGTGCATGATATGAGGTCATTTGAACAAACTATGCCATGAATGTGGCCA